TAAAAAAAAAAAAAAAAAAATTCACTTGCATTTAGGATAAACAAAGTTTGCACTGACCACAATGATTTTGTGGTGTATCGGCTGCAGAGAGCATAAACCACCAACATTCAACAGACACTCAGAAACCCTTGCACTATGAAGAAAGTGTAAAACTAAAAACGACAGTTTCTTATTCCAGCTTTGTCATGTTAAGAATGTTGCATATTTGTGAGTATATACATGGCAAATTATAATACATTTCAAAGTTTTTGTTGAGCTACATGTGTTGGTTTACGACTTGATGTCCAATGTAATATCTGGGTCCTTACTTGAGAACTCGTCAAACTAACAAACAATAAGAGAATAGTTTATAGCACTTTAAAAAGCTAAATGAATGATGTGTCAGGTTTATGCTAATGGAATAAAAACTACAGAATGTGGCCAGTGCAAACCTGACTTCAACTTCCTCCTAATGTGGTTAAAATTCCCCTCTTGAAAGCTCTCGGTTAAAGTTTCAATGCAAACGCAGCATGAAAGAAATCTAGACTGAATCATGTTGTTTTAACATTATGAAGTTCAATCACCTTCAGCTCTGTGAGTTTATGTACTTTATGAATATTTTTTTTTTGTGCTGTGTAAACTAAAGCATTGACTAATGATGTTTTAATAACAATGTATGTGTGTGTGTTTCATTTCACAGATCTGCTCATGTGGTGTCGAGCTGCAGAGACTTTAACAGATCAGCTAACAGATTTGGGTCAAAATGTGACTATAAACTGTGATCTTGATGTAAATGAGGTTATTTGGCTATTGCTGAAACGAGATTCTCCAGTTCTGATATTACGCACGTTCTCATCTACAGCTCCTTTTTACTTCAAGAAAACATTGAAACAGAAATATTCAGTACAAAGTAAGCACAATCTGTTCATAATGAATGTTACTATTGATGATTTAGGAGTTTATTACTGTATGAAAATACACCCTCCTCAAAAATACAGCAGTGGCACGAGACTGTACATCATTGGTGAGTGACCATTCAATACATGCTTTTAAGACACTAACAAAAAACAAATAGCACAGCTCTGAATGTATTATATATCATAGAGCCAACTGCAGAGAGCAAGAATCATACAGTGGTGAAGGACACTGAGCAGAACCAGACACACTGGCAGATTATTATCATCATAATCTCTGCTCTGTTGAATGGTCTTCTGATCATTGTGATCATACGTGAGTTACTTGATAGAATCATGACTTCATCTGTAAAAATGTAAAGACATCAGTTTTTAATCTATATTCACACTGTCATTCCAAGGACTATTAAAGGTATTTGTTTTTGGAAGCAAGAGCACCAGAGACAACTTGACACAATCTCAAGATACAAACCTACAACAGCCTCAATTCATGGATCTTGAACAACAACAAGCTCCAAGCCAAGTGCAGGTAAGACAAGTATTAATATAACAGTAGTTATTCATTGCAACAGCAACAAAAAATAAACATTCAGGCTCTTTGAACCTGAGCACTGTCAGAAAAACAGTGCCTGTAGGTGTACAGCAGCTTTTCAAAGCAGGGGCAGTTCCTTTAAAAGGTACATTTGTCTTCATCTACCCCTAAAAGGTGTATATTAATACACTAAGGTAACTTCTATGTATCCTTTAGGTAAGAGATGGTGTACAGTTAACCAGTACAATATACTTGTCTATTATCTTAAAGCTTCAGCCAAGAAAATGCAACTCATTTGGTTTAATTTCTCATTGTATAAAACATGTAGCAACAAAACAAAAACCACATCAATAATACAGCAATATTAATACTGAATTCCTCTGACGTGATTATAGTCGATAACTGAAATACAAAATGGTGCTAATTGCATTTGATTTGTACCTATAGCGAGATCAAGTCTGAGATATGATGCAGCAGATGCTATACCTTGATGAGCAGCCTGATACACAGCATTGCCATGGGATATTAGGAAATAGATAGCTGAAAAATTAGAAAGTATTCCATGTCGGAATTACCATAAATGAGATGACAAACTGGAGCTCTCCGAAAATTCTGTGTTTACAATTTTTTTTAATGTATTTTATGTTCTATATATTCTGGGTTTGGATTCATGCAAGGACATGCTTTTAACAAGGTGGAACTGAATAATAATAGTAGTTCCACATAACATGAACGCTTTAAAGTTGGCTATATGCACCCTTTAGAGGTTTGTTACAAAGAAGCCACAGTGACATGCTTGTTTTTCTGATTGTATGGATTACTGTTTATCCTCTTAAAGAAAACTGCTATCAGTTTTGTATTGAGATTAAATGGTATTACTGAATGCTTTTACAGTACGCTACGGTGGACTTTCCAACGCCATGTCAAAGGTTTCATTCCAGCCAAGTCAACAGCACCTATGCACTTCTACAGTTCCCAAAATCAAGAACACCTAAGCATAACCCCATTTAGTTTAATTTCTCCTTGCATTTGATACAGTATAGTGTGTTGTATAGCTACCTATATCTCTTGTGTCAAAGGTTTTGGCTCACTAGATGTCTTTACCTCAATGGCTTTGCAGATTAATTTAGTGAATTAGTAATCAAATTAAATGTATATGACTTATTGAGCAATTACATCGCCAGAACTACTGCTGTTAAGTTGATTAACTTTGATTTGTGCTTGGCAAAAACGTTGGGTTTGCAGACAGAAGCTGTAGGTGTAAGCAGGAAGTCAGATGACTTTTGCTCTAGAGATGTTTGTGTGATGGTATAGATGTGCTTATCTGACCTAGCTAACTGTCTTGAGGGCCATTCTTTTGTCAGACATCTGTATGATGACTGTTAAAAAACGTTATCATTGGCTGTTGTCTCAGCAAGGAAATTGATTTACTTTAGCTGTGCTAGTTTCTTTCATCTCTCCTCAGACTTCTACTGATGTACTGTAATAATGTGTTTATTTATTTCATAAGTAGCCTTGTAAGGATTGGGATAACGAACAGTCAGTCTGACTGTACATTATCCCTTATTTCAACATGTGTGTTCAACAGACACACAGACACATGTACGCATGCTGCTGTATTTGTCCATTAAAGCCGTTACAATACAAACCGTGAACTGTGCGCTCAATGTTTTCTTCTGAAACGAAAATGTTAGAAAATGTTATCATGCAGCCACCCCATTCATGTCCTTCCAGACACAAATGAATGTTGTACACCACAGGTTTTTAAGTGTCTCTTGCGCAATCGCGCAATTGTTGGAGAACATTTAAAAACATTTGATCTGTTCTTCACATAATGTATGACTTCAGAAGACCAATAATAATAATATACAGTAGCATGCTTGTGGTACTGTTAGACTTTGTTTTGTTGATTTTATGCCCTTCGCCGAGTTTGACAGTATAAATTACCATTCACTTTTATGAATAGAGCAGATATGCTAAAATATCAAGTTCTGTTGTGCAAATATTCAAGAATACAGTCTTTCCACTATTTTAACTCAGGGTAATTACCTTCCCAAATACAACACAATACATTGGGGTAATTCCCCTCTCGAAATATGGTGACGGCATCCCATTAAGAAGCTACTGTCTATCACTACACCAAACTAATCAATGAGCACCACTGGTCTTTAAGATGAAACATAAAAAGAGACCACCTTGCAAGAAAGAAGGGTTAATAACAGCCAACTAAGCAGTCAGTCACATCAACCAAGAACTCTGAGCAGAAAAATACACAGATATTAAGAACTTGCGATTATAAAAGCAATGTAGTGTTAAAACTAATTCTTCACTGTGCCTGGTTATACTGATCTTGTCATGACTGTTCTACTGTGTTAAGTATTTTTGTTTCATGATCACAGATAGCATTCATAGTACATGGTGTTTGGTCTTAGCACATTGTCTGCATGTCTCAGGTTGCTATTTTGAAACACTCTTTTGATACTTCCTTGACCATGTGTGGGACATTACATCATTTCTATACTGCAGCATGAGCACATTCTTTCAACGTGAAAAGAGGAACTAAAACTAATAAAAGTATTCACAGCAGTTTCCATTTTCACTAAACACTTTCTTTGCCACTCTTTTAAAGAAAACGTTTAATTCTCTATCAAATATGTCCACATTTCCACAGAAAATGAAAGGGAAATGGTTTTGCATAAATGATGGAATTTAAATGACTGATTTTTTTAGAAGAGAGATGTAATTACATTAAAATCTAAGAGCTCCAAACCTTTTTTTTGTTTTTTCACAATTTGGTCTCTAGTAATGCTACATCTGCACAGCTTTGCTCACCTGCGGCTAACACCTCTTTAGACAAGTTTACCTCATGAGGTAGCCTACATATGTAAAGTTTTTACAGATGCTCTGGTAAAATGTTCCACTGGTCTTGCACATACAAGAAGTGAACCACAAAGTCTCACCTCTTGAAAGAGAGGGGGAGTGAACCAAGATTTTTTTTCTATTTGTTTTCTTAATCTCAAAAGGAAGAATACATGTTAAATTGTTCAAATTATCTTGGGCATTGAGAGAAAGAAGCTTTACGTGTATTAGTTAGTCCAGTTTACATATAGGCCTATATATAAGAGTATATATAAGGGCACGGGACCCCAATTTATATTGACCAAAACAGCATTACATGAGTGCTGATAATAAAGAAATATAGCCAACAAACTAACTGGCCAGTTTTTGTCTGAAAAGTCAATTACTCTATACTAGCCTAATTATTTTGATATAAATTAAAGTAATACCACTACACTTTTCCCTCATATGATTTGCAGTAGCCTAATTATAAGCCTCAAAGGTTTAAAAACTATCATATTAAGTATGCCTAGTCGTGAGTACGTCGATAAATAGCATAAATTAGGCTACAGGGATACAGGACACACTAGTCTGAATAATACATTAACCTACGTTTTCCTGTCATACTACATATATTTTGCTGGTCAGAATGGACAAATCACAGACGTTTGTGATATACATTTTTATTTAAGAGAGTTTGGTGAAGCAGATTTTCGATATAGCCTATAGGCCTGGTCGTTGTCCAGTCGTTGGAACTAATATATTTAAAAGTTATGATTTAGCCTAGTATACAAATTACTCACAAAAAGGCAAAAAGCATTCAAAGATGACACAGAGATTCAGTTAAGCGCCCTCTGGAGGAACACTTTGGTCGAACAGGAAACAGTTACATTTCCCGCCCAACGATTTGTGGGAGACCAACGGGATACAGGAAATACAGGACGTCAACTTTATGAAATACAGCGAGAAGTAGGAGTCGTGAGAATAACTAAAAGAAGCACCAAAGAGGAAAATATTCTAACAAGATTAAGGGTTGGGCATACTATGCTGAATAAAACCTTAAAAATAATAAATAAATAAACATCCAACAGGATTATGTGAGCACTGTGGAATAGAGGAATCAGTAGAACATGTTATTTGTATTTGTCAAAAGTATACTAATGTACGAGAAACAATGAAGAATGAACTTAGAAAGATGGGAGTGGATAACCTAAACCTTAAAAATATATTTTACTTATGGACTAGATCGAGAGTTTATTTTTGTATCTTAAGAGAATACCAATGAACGAGAAACAATGAAGAATGAACTTAGAAAGATGGGAGTGGATAACCTAAACCTTAAAAATATATTTTACTTATGGACTAGATCGAGAGTTTATTTTTGTATCTTAAGAGAACAGAGCTGATTAAGAGAATTTAGAGGGATATTTTTTATTGAGGTAAAGAATGTTTTTTTTGTTTGTTCGTTTTGGTCTTTTCTTTCTTTTCTTTTTTTTTCTTGTCCTCTCAAATGATGTGTTAAACGGCCTTTTGGGTCAAAACTAAGAGTGACACTCCAAAAATAGAGCAGTTATTTGGGGAAGAACACCAAAATAAGGCTTTCCCATGATATGTATGGGTCTTTCCCATTAGCGAGACAGTGACGCAAAGTTCTCAATGAAGATGGCCTAACTTTTCCCACAGCCTAAAATAGCCTCCTGGAGGTGGTTGATAACCAAATATAGCTAGTTTTGGGACCGGCCCAAAGGGGAGCACTGTTCTGAACAGCTGACAAATGTAACAAAATCTGGCTGCAACTCCGAATAGTGTTAATATTGTAACATCAGGCTGGTGGCCATGTGCAAAAATGATACATAAGATCCTGGATGATGAAAAGGAGAAATCTTTGAACCATGAAATGTTATATATTACCGATACAGTGTTAGTTGTCCATTAAAACATATGACGTGCTAATCGACGAGTTTATTTGAGCTTTTCTGTGGAGGGACTGAGGAACGCCAAGTTGCTCCACCAAATACTGGATCAAATGTTTTGTTCTACCAAATGCATCTTAAATTTATTTTGCTGGAAACACAGGATAATTTTTTGAGGATACATTTTTTTAATTGAATTTGTGGTGTATTTTTGCTCTTAGACAATTCACTCTCTTTGGCCAACTTCATTTGATCCTGTAAGTAAACTCAGATTTCTGCGTGAAAGGAAGACTGACGGTTTGCATTCCTCTTTATTAGTGTGTTCTTTCATATTGCAAACATGTTCCTGGGCTTCGCACTGCTTACATAAACACTGGAGCAGTTCCCTGCTCATTCAGTTAGCTGAACCTGAAACAATTCAACAAGAATGGCCTCCAGGTGAATGCTTATAAATGACAAAATGCATTACATATATGAGTCATAAAGACTGTGAATATTATTGTCTGTATACTGTCTAAGTGAACGTTGCTGCTGCAGAAGTTCAGTCGACACCATTTGTGGCATAATGTAGATTACCACAAACAATAATTTCTCATACCTTGTTTCATAAAAGTAATCTTAAAGGGTTGTGCATACCAAGAATGATAATAGGAACTAAATTGATCAAGTTTTAACGTAATAGTTTATTAAAACATATAAATTAGCTGAAAATGTACTCACCCTCAGGCCATCCAAAGATTAGATGAGTTTGTCTCTTCATCAGATTTGGAGAAATTTAGCATTACATTATTGGCAGTGAATGGGTGCCGTCAGAGTCTCCAAACAGCT